AAAGCTTTTGTATTAAGTTTTTTCACGATTCATTTAAAAGAAAATATTTACACATTTAGTATTTAGTAAAAGATAAATTTAACATTAAGGGACGTATCGAAGACACTCTATATATAAATATTTATGGTTGATAGTTTGGACGGTTTGACGAGGTAGTTGGAAATCTTAGGCAAACACGTGATCTATAAAGAAAAATGGGCAAATTTCTTAAGTGAATTAAGCACTCTTGAGAAGAACATTAGGAGCCATTCACTATCCATTCAATTTTCAACACTGATTTTGTCAAAAAGTAAAATGATGGCTATACAGTGTGCAATAAATTATCAGACCAATAGGCTCTTTTTCAAAGTGCTAAATGTCAAAGGAAAATTAATTATGATGAATATCCTAATTTGTCAAACATATTCATTTCTTTATGTGAACTATCTAAATTTGATGCATTCAAAAAGAAAATGATAAAAGTTATTAATACATTACAACTCAAGAAACCTTTGTATGGAAAGAAAATAAAAAATCATCATCATCATCATCATCATGCACCAATTTTCTTAGAAAAAGTAAGTGTTTTTTTTTTTTCTCTATCTATATCTATCTTAGTAGAGATTCGATGAGTCGATTCAAATATTCGTACGTAAAACATCATACTTTTATTGATCTTTGGAATCTTTTTCCTTAATCAAGGAACTGATGCAGAAAAAAATGACTTGCTTCCTCGCGATACGACATCCTTGCTAGTGTAGCTCAAATCAATTTGTACTATAAATTGATCTCAACTGTCCACTATAAAAATGTAATTATTTGGTTAAGACTATTGTCGTAACAAAATCGTAAAATTATATGATAAATGGAGTGTGAAACATTATTTGGTGCATAAATAAATGGTTCCTATTTTTGTATGAAAATTGTTGTACGGATATGAATTATTTTTAATTTTTTTGACGCCCTTTAAAATTTACAAAGAAACTTCACACCCGGGTGATCACAATAATTATTTTCCGATTCATGATCTTCACTAATATATATGATCGAGATCAATAATCCTTACAATAATTTACCAATATTCTACTAAAATAGAAATAATATACATGTCGTGTATCTTCAATTAAATAAAATTGTAAATATTTCCCAACCATTTGTCAAGTCTATCCTCGTAACGAAAAGGAAAATTATATGTAAATGTATATGAACGGGGTGTGAAACCGTACATTTATGAGCTATTTTAAGTGTTTACACCCTTTAAAATTTATGGAGATCACTTAACAGATTCGTTGTCTGAATAATTATTTTCGAATCCATGTTCTTCACAAATATAAATACGATCAAGATCCATAATATATAACTACAATATTTACCAATATTCGAATAAATTAGTAATACTATATATGATGTATGCATCCATTATTTTTTATTAAACAAATTTTCATTTTTTTTTTCAAATAAATACATACAAATGTAATAACAATGCTATATCGTGAATAGTTATGATTCCCTTCTTGTGAAATATATGACTTTTTGAAGACATGAAAAGATAGATTATTTTTGTGGGGGCCCTTTTAACCCTAAATTGAAGAAGCATCCCTTGTGAGGTAAAGGGAATTAGATTCCTCCAACGTTACAAAATAACAATATCTTCACATGTATATGACTCATACATGATGATGATACAAGAGAAAATTCATAAAGAAATTTCAAGAAAAGGTCAATTTATATGGTCACATAATGTGTGCAAATACAAATAATGTTACTTTATTAGAGTAGTGGGATGCACCTAATTGAACCAAAATAAAGAAATGCCCATTTGCTTCACACAAAACATATTTATGTTTTGTGTCGAATGTTTAAAGTATTTTTAATAAAGAAAACGCCAAGAAGATGAAGAATAGGAAAAATGAAAACATACAACCAATCTTTCGGCACAAATTAATAAATTGACAAAGATGTGCATTCTCTAAATGGTCGTACAACGTAAGTAGCTTCCAAACGGAATGTATGAATTTCTAATGTATATATACATAGATAGCAATGATATACTAAGCACCGTTATTTAGCTTATGCTAAGCAACAATTATGTGACAAATCAATTCAACGAATTTTATTCCTTCATAAATTTAACAATACTTAGTAGATTAGTTTTTTCTCAACTTCACGATCATATTGACAGGTATTTAGTGAAAGAACAATGATATTTGTTACCATTGCTTACCCATTAGCATCTATGTGATAATAAGGTAACCGACAAATTTTCCTATACATTTGGAACGAATTTAATTCACTAAAGAATGTCGTAATGACATAGAGTCACATGATTATTACTGAGTTTTCAATCATTGAAAACCACGTATTTCCTAATATGCACACGATCAACAACTATAAAAACTATTTATTATAGTATTCGCGAAGTTAATAATCGTCAACGGCTTCGACCAGCGAACAAAACATTGTCGGTTGTTCTAAACATCAACAATGACATTATGATTTGATAATCTTTGATGGATGAGTTAGCGATCATTGACGATTCCATCGAAATCACCAGCTTATCTGTACGTAATATTATAAAGAAAGAACAAAAATGTATTTAAAGTTAACATTCAATAACTATTAAAAATATAGAAATATAAAATTTCGTCGGTGATATACGCTAGAACCAAAGCATTATTAATTGTTGATGATTGTTGACATTACCGACGACATTGTCATTGATAATCGTTGAACGAAATTTGTCGGTGATTACCGACATTGTTACCGTTAGCAATCCGTTTGAATCAATTAATATCATCGATCATCAATGACAAAATATGCGTAAATAATCATTTATTCCATTAGTAATTTTATTATTATCCAAAATCTCACCTTAATAATTTTGCCTAAAACCTTAATTACTTTTAAGTCATCTTTCAGCTGCTAAATGAAATAATTTTAGTACCATTTTCCTTTATCAACTGATGTTAATGCAACTCCGATCGATTGGATCAATTTTGAACAGTTGCGTGAGAATTGATACAACTCTTTTTCATAGCACCTTTTTTTTTCCTTTGCTCGGACCTTTCACTAATTAATACTAATTGAAATTAAATTGACATAATGTCTATGCTTTTTAGCTTTCAAATAAAGAAAAGTGGACCCTTTGCACCGTGGTAAAGAAAATAGTCTAACTGATGCCCAATTTTTTTGACTTTTGAATTTAGTCCAGTTTCTTGATCTAAGCAACTACGTAAATTTTGAGTAAATCTAGTCATAAAGTGGATTTTAAATTGACCAAACATTATGTGACATTACGAAATTTCTTCATGAATTTGTTTAAATTGGATTAATTTTCACATTTCATCAATTAAGATAGAGAGATTTTCTCATTTAAAAAAAAAAAAAAAACCCTTCATTAAATTTCTTATATTGAATTTTCGTATTTCATCAATTAAGATATAAAGATTCTCTTTTATTACATACTATTATAGAATTTTCTTAATATTTGTGAATAAAATTGTTATGACCATTCAATATAGAACATGAAATAAATTATTTATTTATTTTTTTAATAAAAATGCTTGGTCATGAGGTTTTAGTCTAATTCTATCTCGTTCAATATCGAAATATTTTGAGAGTATATTTTTAAAACCATGTTGTCTCACTGCCTTTGTTAGAAATAATTCAAATAGATACAGCCAAAAATTCAAACTCAATTAATTAATCATATTTAGTAGTTAATTATTGTCATTCTGACCAATAGCTGAAGAGGAAAGAATACTAACCAAATATAACACAATTATATGAAAAGAAATGAACAAAATCTAAGAAAATTAAATAAATGAACATCATTTTCAAAGCATGAAACCTACAGAGATGAAAGTGGATAGGGATACCAACTTCTTTTGCATTTTTATATACAGAGATAGAGAGAGGTGTATGTATCTGTATGTACAAGGGGAAGGGGTATACAAATATTAATATTTTAATGTCGTTGAGATGTGAAAATGAGAGCTATACCAGGAAAGATAGGAAAGAGAGAGAGGAATTGGTGGTGGTGATGTAGAAGAAGCAGAGGGAGGAAAAAAAAAATGGTCATGGAGATGCGGGCCAACACCATTACTAGCGCTAGTATTAGAAAGGGAAACTTCTCAGTACTCTTCCTTTTTCTCCTTTTCATTCTCATTCTCTTCATCCTTTAATTCTTAAATTTAATCAGACAATACACTTTTTTACCTTTATCTTTTCGACATCAAGATTTGATTTTTTTCCCCTATATTTTTATTCCTATTCAGACATTTGAACTAAGCCCATATGTTCTCTTGTTTTTCGATCAGAGTTCTGGATTTTTTGTTTTTAATTGGTAAGGTCCTTTTGGGTACTGAATTCAAGAACTTTCTTGATACTGTGTTTATTGGCGGACTTCTTTGTTGACTATCTTAAGGGGGGGTTTTGTGGCATTAACTGTTTGATTAAGGAGCGTTACTCTGATCTGGGTTTTCTGTGGTTTTGGTTCTATGCACTGGATCTTGTATCGTTTTTAATGAAAGCGTCAATCTTGGATTCTAATCTTCGTAATTCTGGGATTGGTTGAACTGGGATTTCAGGGGTTTGAGAGTTTTTTTTTAGAATTTCCCTGAGAATCTGTAAAACCCTTTGGTGTTGTGCTGCTGTGCTTCTGATTTTACATGTTTTTGTGATTAGAGTTATTTTGGGTGTACATATAGTTAGATTTTGTGTGACTTTGATGGGAGCAAGTTCCCCCTTGGTGATATTTTGTGATTCTTTGGGGTGAAATTACCTTTTGCGTCGCTCAAATATTTCAGGAAAAGAAAATTACCATACATAAATCAACTTGCAAAAGGAGAAAGGATAAAAAAAAACCCACCATTTTTATTGTGGGTTTAATAGTTTTGGCGTTGCTCAGATAAAATTTCGCTATTTAACAAACAAATTGATATACTATATGTGTCGTAGAATCTAGATTAGGAGAAAAAGGGAATTGTAGAGTGTTTTGGGTGCTGGGTTATTGCTGGTCTATGGGAATACCTGATATTACGATACTGGGTTTGATTGAGAAGGTTAGATCTTGGATTTCTTGGGGAAAGAGTGGTCCAACTTCCATATCCGGTGGACTTCAGATGACTGGTAAGAGTTGCAAAATTTGTTACCAGTGTGATAGCGATATATCAGAATTTTCCCTCAAGTACCACTGTCAAAGCTGCGGAAGGGTATTGTGTGGGAACTGTGTGCATGAACTTGCATCCGGACATTTGAGAGAAACAAAGGAGAGAGTGTTTGACATCAAGTTTTGCAAGTTTTGTTTAGAACTTGGTCCCTGGAGCAACTGTGCAAGAATGTATAGTGGCAAGGTTTATCCTTCTGAATCTCCAAGACAAAGCCCAGAATCACCATCACCAAGTTTTTGTGGTGAGAGATTTGATGATCATTCCCCCAACGCTCTGGCTAAAAATATCAACACATCATTTTCGAATCATCCATCTCCAGTGTCTGATCCTCGTTCGCCAAGGTATGTGCCAGGGTTTATTGTTACTTGAAAGTTTTATGGATCACATGTTTGTAAATTTTGAATCTATTACTTACTATTATGGTTTCTGATGAAGTTTTTTATTGTTGAATTTTGTTTATACCCTGAACTGAAGTATTCAGATTCCTTGAATACTATAAATATGTCATTTTGATATTAACTACCAATTCAAACGTGGCTAGTCAGAATACCTCCTAGCAAGTGAAGTTCAGATTTAAGATATGCAGTTAAGCAAGATTTTGAGTTTGTATGTCAATTTATTTGATCTTTTGCATGGTACTTTTATGCTTATATGTATCACATAAATAACATTAGTGGTGTCCTTGTGTGTTTTAGAGGACATATTATTGAAGATCTAATGAGTTCTCACATGGTCTGCTATGATTTGCTCTTTCTGGGGTTGAAATTTTTATGTTTATGTTTGTGATTGCAGGAGCGATGAAGATGAGGGCGATGATTCCACAAGTTGCTTTTTCAGCACATCGAGTGAATGCTTACATTATAATTCTGATGTAGATTTAAGTAGTGTTAGTTCTAGGCATGGAAATTATAGTTTTTTGTCTGTTGGATCAAGCCCTTCAGACAGCCCCTCCAGGGTCCATATTACTTCCAATAGTGTTGGGCATCATGTACAGCAAGAGCAAGGTGGAACAGCTAGATCTCAGAATGATGGTCCCTATGATCAAGAGTCTATGGCTGTTTTAAAGGGGACAGGGGATCCTGAAAATGTCCATCATCTGTCGATATTCCAGAATAAGCGTGAAAAGCCATTGAATTTTGAAGCCAATCGTCTCATCTGGTTACCTCCACCACCAGATGATGTATCTAGTGAGGCAGAAAATAATTTTTTTACTTATGACGATGAGGATGATGAAGTTGGGGAGTTAGGTGCAATGTTTTCCACTACTGATAGTCTAGATAGCATGTTTTTGACAAAGGAAAAGCTAAATCATGTTCACAAAGAGCCCTTGAAAGCTGCGGTGCAGGGGTACTTTAGGTCTCTTGTGTCGCAGCTGTTGCATGTGGATGGTATAATGGCTTCCAAAGAGCACTATGCTGAGGACTGGCTTGATGTAATTGTGGAAATAGCATGGCAAGCTGCAAACTTTGTGAAACCAGATACTAGTAGAGGAGGCAGCATGGATCCCTGTGACTATGTTAAGGTTAAATGCGTAGCTTCAGGAAGTCCTAGAGAGAGGTAAACATCTGGTATTATTGACCGATTTCTTATCCACGTTTTATCAGATTCATTTGTGAAAAACACTACATTTCTCAGTAGATATTTTGAAAAAATAAAGTTAATCCAATCTTCAATGCAGCATGTTTATTAAAGGGGTAGTTTGTTCCAAGAATATAAAACACAAGCGCATGACATCACAATACAAGAACCCTAGACTACTACTCTTAGGAGGAGCTCTTGAGTACCAAAGAGTTCCCAATCAGCTTGCATCTTTTGATACATTACTGCAACAGGTTCATTCTTAATTATATTTATTATTATTTTTTCTTTTCTTTAAGATATCAAAGCTATTAAGCATGAATTTATGAATTTATTTTTGAATCAGGAAAATGATCATCTAAAGATGATTGTTTCAAAGATAGAGGTCCATCGTCCAAATGTGCTGCTTGTGGAGAAAAGTGTGTCTTCATTTGCTCAAGAACATCTGCTAGCAAAGGAGATCTCTTTAGTTTTAAATGTTAAAAGACCTCTGTTGGAGTGGATTGCAAGATGTACTGGTGCTACTTTAACTCCGTCAATTGATCATTTATCCACGACGCAGTTGGGACACTGTGAACTTTTCCATTTGGAGAAAGTTTCAGAAGACCATGAACCGCTGAATCAGTTCAACAAAAAACCCTCAAAAACCTTAATGTTTTTTGAGGGATGTCCCAGGCGGTTAGGTTGCACGGTAATTTTTATTTTTTGGAATTTATAGTATGTTATTTATTGTTTTTATCTGAGCATGCATTGTATGAATCGATGATTTCCTGCTTCCTAATCATTCTATTTTTGCTAGTTGCGAAACTTTGACAAGGAACTCCTCAATCTCTTTTCATTTGTTATTTCTAATGCATACCAAAGAAGTATTGAGGTTATATTTAGCCCCTTTTTGAGTCACGTTAAAATTTTCATTCTCATTCTTCTACTTATTTTCAACCATGCATTCTTCAATATAATAATATTTTTCATCACATCAATAACCTTTCCTTTTTTTTTAACCACATATTCTCCATCAATCTACTATTCCAAAATACATTCTTCCAAAATAATGTGGTTCAAACACGCCCTTAATAACATGGGAATGGGGTAAAGCAGGAGGAGGAGGGAACTAATTCTATTGTGTTTGTAGGTTGTACTGAAGGGATCATGTCGTGAAGAACTTAAGAAGGTGAAAAGTGTAGTACAGTATGCTGTCTTTGCGGCATATCATTTATCACTTGAGACCTCTTTTCTTGCTGATGAGGGTGCTAGTCTTCCTAAAATGGCAGTAAAACCTTCATCCTCGATGAGTCCTAATAATTCTCTCTCTGTGATCCCTATTTCTACTGTTCCTTCCAGTTGCCCTGAAGAGCTTGATGTCCCTAGCATTGATGTAGGACCTGCAGAATTCCATTTGGAGCTTGGTCTACATGAGTCACTGTCTGAACTTGGTCATGCTAGTTATGATGATGACTGTATGACCGATGAGTACAGATTTGTAAATGCACTCTCTGATGCATGTGATGATAATTTGGCTGGCTTTGGAAATTATGCACAGACAGGATTGCTAAGTCAAGAAGAGGGCCAATCAGGTGAAGTTTCTGAACTTGCTGAACTTGAGAGGGTTGATGGGATTGATGACTCAAGTGAATATTATTCTGCTAATGATGTTCACCAGAGCATATTAGTTTCTTTTTCTAGTCGTCATGTGCTAAATGGAACTGTATGTGAACGTTCTCGACTCCTGCGTATCAAATTCTACGGTCCTGCTGATAAACCGTTGGGGAGGTATCTTCAGGATGATCTATTTGATCAGGTAACCTTTCTTTTGGGTCCGTTCCTTTTGCCTTATTGTCTAGTTGGTTTGGTTATTTACTGCAATTTGTATTGCCAGTCGTCTTGCTGTAGATCATGCAAGGAGCCAGCTGAAGCCCATGTCATGTGCTATACACATCCGCATGGGAATCTTACAGTAAATGTCAGACACGTCCCCTCAGTGAATCTTCCTGGGGAGCGAGATGGAAAGATATGGATGTGGCACAGATGCCTCAGGTGTGCACATATTGACGGAGTTCCACCAGCCACTCGAAAGGTGGTGATGTCTAATGCTGCCTGGGGACTTTCTTTTGGAAAATTTCTCGAGCTTAGTTTTTCTAACAATGCAACTGCTAACCGTGTTGCAACCTGTGGTCACTCTCTGCAAAAGGACTGCCTCAGGTTTTATGGGTTAGTTTGATGTTCAGTTAGATTTCAGTTCCATTACTGTTGTTCACAGACACGTTGTTCATCAGAACCATTTTGTTAGTTGTAATAGCGGTTAAACAATGACATGTTTTTCCTCTCCAATCTTTTGACAGGTTTGGGAGTATTGTTGTTTTTTTCCAATATTCTCCTGTTGATATTCTCTCTGTCTATTTGCCGCCATCAATTCTCGAATTCAGTGGCCATGGTGAACAGACCTGGGTCCGAAAAGAAGCATCTGAGGTTTGTAGAACATTTGAATTTTTTTCCAGTTTTTGTTTGACTCTGGAGATATAATTAAATTATTTATGTCTGAATCACAACTATCTTCTTTGCCTTTCCTTAGCTTTTGAGCAAAGCCAAAGCCTTGTATGCAGAGATATCAGTTGTTCTTCATCAAATTGAACAGAAAATCTCATCTAACACAAATGAGTTCTCCAAGGCGAGTGAGTTGCATTGTCACATCTTGGTGTTAAAGAACATGCATGCAACAGAGTTGAATCGTTACAAAGTGAGTACTGCATGCAGTTCAACGCTGTTTATGTGCTTCATGTGATTGTGTTCTAGTGTCCTGGTTTCTCTGGCTTATTTCATTTTGTTTGAACAGGATTCGCTTCTATTAGTCGATGAAGAGAATTTAGACCTATGTCATGTAACTGTTGACATTCTTGAAGTTAATCGATTGAGACATTCACTTCTGATGGCTTCACAATTTTGGGATCTCCGGCTATATCTGTTGGACTCTCTCCTTAATAGGAGCTCCAGTCCCACTGCTCAGAATGATGATGCAGCTCATGGTGGCTTGAAAGAATTTGATGCATATTTGGCAGATAGCAGTATTGAGTTAGGTCATGAAGATATTGCCCTCGAGTATTTAAAATTAGATGAATGCCCAAAAAAGCCTGTATTGTCCAAAGAAGAGCCCAATTTTTTGCTGTTAGAGTCTAGTTTGCTGGAAAAATCTATATCAAGCAAATTTGACCAGAATGCGGATGATAGAATGCAAGCAGACGAGGAGAATGCAGTCAACAATACATCACTAGAACGCCTCCAATCAGCTGGGTCCATTCTTTCAGATAAGATAGATTCTGCATGGACAGGCACAGATCAGCCTCCAATAAAAGCTCTGTTGCTTGAATCACTTAAAACTGACGAACCTTTATCCACGGTATCCGAGCTATTAAATCGAAAAGAAAATCCATCTTTTAAAAGACTGATGTCACCCACCAGAGTATACTCCTTTGATTCTGCTCAGAGACTTCAAGAAAGAATCAGTAAAGGACTGCCACCCTCTACATTGCATTTGTCTAGTCTCAGATCTTTCCATGCTTCTGGAGATTATAAATTTATGGTCAGAGATCCTGTTCCAAATGTACGAAGGACTTATTCTCAAATATTGCCTCAAGAAGCTAAGTTAAATCTTTCGAAGGGTCTGATACCTTCTTTTATCTCTTCTATTTCTCTTTTGCCTGAAGGAGCAAGATTGATGATCCCACAAAATGTTCAAAATGAAGTTGTTATTGCTGTTTATGATAATGAACCGACAAGCATAATATCATACGTTCTTAGCTGCAAGGAGTATGAAGAATGGGTTACTGATAAGCCAAATAGGCTTGAAGGAGGATCAAATATAAGTCGAACTAAAAGGGTGAATGCTTTAGCTTCTGACCTTTCTACTTGGCAGTCCTTTTGTTCGCTGGACTTGAATTACATTAACTATGGAAGTTATGCCTCTGGAGATGCTTTGGCTACCGAGAGTTCTCTATTCACAGACTCCAAGAGTTCTCCTCATCTAAGAATTTCTTTCGAAGAGGAGTCTTCAAGCGCTGGTGGAAAGTTGAAGTTTTCTGTTGTATGTTACTTTGCAAAACAATTTGATGCGCTTTGGAAGAGATGTTGTCCCAGCAAAGTGGATTTTGTACGTTCCTTAAGCCGCTGCAGGAGATGGAGTGCTCAGGGGGGAAAGAGTAATGTTTATTTTGCAAAGTCATTTGATGAGCGATTCATTATCAAACAAGTAACAAAGACTGAGTTGGAATCCTTCGAAACATTTGCACCTAAGTATTTTAAATATTTAACGGATTCTCTCAGATCAGGAAGTCCAAGTTGCCTCGCCAAAGTTCTTGGTATTTATCAGGTTAGACCTCATTTATTATTTTTGTTCTCGTTTGTTGTTTCTTTGTATTTTTGGTTCTAATCTACTGTTTTAATCTAGGTCATCATCAAATATCCAAAAAGCAGCAAGGAAACAAAAATGGATTTGATGGTTATGGAGAATCTCTTCTTTAAAAGAAGTATCTCAAGGGTGTATGATCTCAAGGGCTCTGCACGATCTCGTTATAATTCAGATGCAAAGGGAACAAATAAAGTATTATTAGATACGAATCTTTTAGAAACACTCTGTACAAAACCTATATTCCTCGGAAGCAAAGCAAAACGGAGCCTGGAAAGAGCTGTTTGGAATGATACATTCTTTTTAGCGGTAATCTGCTTTCACATTCTATTCTTGATGAGGTTACTGGGCTTTGATCACTAGTTTGAAGCTTTTCACAACAATGTTTATTCTTACTAGTGTTGTGAAAAATTATACTGATTTCACCTGAAAGATTAACAAGTGGTATACTCTATGCTATGGAAGTTTCTATAGATAGTTTGAGAAAAGCACTGAGCTATTGGCAGGAACATGTTTCCAAAAAAAAAAAAGGGATTTTCTTTGTTAGAATTTACAGATTCGTCATCGAGGAAAATTAAGGAAAAATGGTGTTTGGATGGAAATTTGGGTCGAATCTTTTCATTTTTAGTGTGTGTTCGGTAGAGATTAAAATCGGATTAAAATTGAAAAACTAGCTGTTATTGTTGACTTTTATTAGACGAGTGAGACCCAATAATGGTTATATTTTTAATTTTAATTGGATTTTAATCTTTACCAAACGAGCACATATTTTATACTGTATTGATTGGAACAAGGAGATTATATTAATCTTCATGATCTTTTATTCCTTTTCTTGATTACAGTCTGTTGATGTGATGGACTACTCTCTGTTGGTTGGGGTGGATGAAGAGCGCAAAGAGCTGGTTATAGGAATAATCGATTTCATGAGACAATATACTTGGGACAAGCAGTTGGAGACATGGGTAAAGGCATCCGGCCTACTCGGTGGACCAAAGCACGCGTCTCCAACCATTATATCGCCAAAACAATACAAGAAAAGATTCAGAAAAGCAATGACAACCTACTTTCTTACAGTCCCGGATCAATGGTCGTCATAAGCATTAAAGTTTCTTCATTTCACTTACCTCCTAGGTAAATGTGTCTGGTATGGCTGGTTTCGTTTGGAACCCTCTGGTCGAGACAATGCTTCTGATTCGTTTGTAGAGCATCAGTTAATAAAGGTCAAATAGAAAAGAATTAATCGACAAAACTGGATAGAGTAAATTCTGCATTCTGATTTTTCTATATTGGTTTTTTTCGTTTGTGGAGGCCTTCAGCCCCAAGAAGAAACCACACAAATGCAGGTGGGACAAACTCTATTACTGACCATCGTAGTTGTAAATTTGTACAATTTTTATTGAGGAATACTTTGAATTTATTATTTCTTGTTTCTGTTGAACCCATGCTTTGTAAGCAATAGAAAACGGAGTCCGGGAGAGCTAATCGATGTTATGCAGCATGTTAGCGAAAGTTTTACGCACCTTTTTTCTGCCCCATCTGTTTTAAATTTCGTTTTCATTGTTGGTATTGAACTGGAATTTCTGGGAGAATTTGTTCAGTATGAAACCTTTACTTAGAAGGTTGTGTGCATGTGGATATCTACAATTTTGAAGGCCTTTTCTCTTGTTCATGTGCAAAGTCTGCAGAGTGTGTCCTTTAAGGCAACTGAAAATCAATTTTCATTATATTACTCCAAATTTTGCTTCGGCTTGGAGCAAAGAAAATTTTTAGAAAACAATTCTCCTATGTTCCTGGGAGATTAAGAAATGAACTTGATAATGAAAGGTGCCCTTTAAGGGAACAATTATTGTTGTATTTTATTGGATTTTTCGACGTTTTGACTTAAAATGAGTTGGTTCTATTTTTGAAGGATGGGTTTAGCCCTTGTTTGGCAACCATTTTTATAAAATTCTTTTTTTTTCTCAAAACTCATTTTCAATTATAAGTTCTCATTATAAAATATTTTACACATAAAATCAATTTTTTATTTCTATTTTTTAATCATATTCTCCATAAAATCACTATTTTAAAATTAATTTTTTTTTCAAAAAAACTCTTTATAATGATTCAAATGAGGGCTAAAGTATTTATGCAAATTCAAATGAGGTAAAGCGGAAGGTACTACATGTGACAAAACGAAAGGAATGACTAAGCCGATATTTGACAATCATTAAAATAAGTCTTTTTTTCTCAAACTCATTTTCAACTATACATTCTCACAATAAAATATTGTACACGTAAATTCAAAAAAATTCTACTTTTAAACCACACATTTTTCAAAAATCACTATTTCAAAACTCATTTTTGAAGAAAAAAGAAACAAAAAATCTCATTTTAATGATTGTCAAACACAGGCTAAATGTGACCAGATGAGATGGACATTCATACGTGACAACCATCTTATAGGAGTTTCTACCCAAATTTTGTAAAATAATGAAAAAAACTTCCAAATATAATTTCATGTAATAATGCAAAATTTCTTTTTTAAAATGAAGTTTAAAAGACCATTTCACTTTTTATTTAAAATAATTAAACAATTGCGTGATTAGAAAATAAAAGTCCTAGCAAGATTGCAGTTAAAAGATAAACAAAATGAGAAATGTGTAATTATCTGCATTTTTTGAATATTTTTTTTCAAGAAAAAGTTATTTCCAGTGTTAAGAACCTTAGTTTTGTATGGTACAATTGAAAATGGTTGGTCAAAAAAATTTAATAGTGTTCCAATATGACGCTTGGAACTTAAGGTACTTACAATCAAGTTATTAAGGACAACATTTTATATTATAATGGATGATCATAGAGAACCTTTTTACCATTGCATAAATAATCTATTGAAATTCATCTTCGATTCGCTTGAAGATATCCACAACATAAATATTGTATCAAACTAGAATCAGCGATTATTCACATCACATGTACGGGCAGGTTTTATTCAGACACTCAAAACACTTTTTTTGCTTATTCTGACACTTATGTCCCCATCTTTTCTTGTCATACTCTTATCCTACATTGTATTACATAAACAACTTATAATAGCATTTCAAGAAAAGTTTACATGTACATAATAGTGTCCATGATGTGATGTGGACAAAATCATATTGTTGATGTGAAAGTGTGAGATTTGAATTATTGGTTGGATCCAGTGCCAGTGTAATTATGGACACAATTATGTATAAATTTATGTACATGTAGCACTTCTCTAGTATTTCAACTCTTTTGAGGACTTTAGTCCATAGTCTAAAGATATGTTTGGCATGTTCGATAAATAACTTATTTCTTGTGCATAACAAAATAACGAAAGTGAACTTATTGAGATGATATATAAGGCCGGGCGATTACATCCCCTTTGTCATGTTACGTATTTCATATTGTCTTGGAATAAGAAAACAAATTCATGTACATGGTCGACCCTAAACATCCACTATTTCACCATCCCTCTTGATGCTCAACCTAAAGCAGTAAAGCTAAACTTTCATTCTCAGCTTCTGAACATTTCCATATATACAGAAAAAGTAACAGAAACATTCTGCTGGTTGTTGAGAACTCTTATTAGGGAAATCAGAGTGAAAATGTAAATGTTGGCTATGGTATTTGTTAAACTTGGTTCAAAAGTACGATTTCTTGGCAGCTAAGAAGCCATGGCAAGTTGGATCTCTCCTTCCATTATTGGCGAGAAACCGACGCGCTTCTGCAAGCATTTACGAGTAACAATATAAATAATCTAAACTGAATTTGAACAACATATAAGAAAGTATGAATTTCTGTCAAATGAAAACATCAGTAAAATTTTATTTGTTATAAATGACCTTACTTTTGTATGCGCTATTCAAAGTCAATTAAATCGATGTTTGGCTAATAATTATAAATTATTTATAATCGACTAAGTTACTTTTTATCTGTAAATTTCGTGGAATTACAAATATCACCATTTATTCCTCACTTATTTTTATCGATTTATAATTTAAACTATTTATAAAAATTTCAAAAAACAAGTTTTTTTTTTTTTTTGAGAGTGCGGCGGTTTTCGACTTTTTCTATCCAATCAGTGGCAGCCATTTGACCCAATTTTGGTGTGTCCAAATCCTTTAGGGGTCAACTAATAGGGAAAATGGTGGTAAAAAACAAGTGCCTAACATTCTCTTTATCATGTACCTGAAATTTCAGATGACTACTTGAAATCAAATAAGGTAGGTTTATTGGATTTTCTTTTTCTTTTGGGACTATCAGTCGATATGCATTCCTAACAACTTTTCGAAGAAATCGACCCAAAAAATTAAAATTTGTATTATCAAGCAGTAAAACACCCAAATTTTGACCTACATGCCCGTAAATCAGTGCCGGTGCCCTTACAATTGAGTGGTTTGAGGAACCCTATTTATTAAGCAGGTAAACAACTTCATATAGTACGGATTTGGTTTCTTTTCTGCGCAAAAGGAAGAAATAATCAACTGATTCTAGGTTGATTAGGACCTTGTCCAAAAGCGACCTAGTCAATTTTGAACATGTATTTCTATCTAGTAAATTATCAATGCCTGTAAATTGTCTAAACCATGATTAAAACATTGAACAGTCAAAATCATTTGAATCCCTAAACCTAAAAATTAAGGTCCACTTGACGTGACTTTATCTTAGAGTTTTTAAAAGAAGTTGACTTAAGGTAATTCATTCGAAAAACTCTTTTATAAAATGCAGAAGCAAAAACCCTACCAAACGTCTTCAAGTAGAGCTAAGAAAGTCAATTTATATAATTTATTCTTAAAGTCGACTAATCTATCTTAACAACAATCATGAATATTCTAATTTTTTTTTAAAATTAAAATCATTTGTCCATCCCCACAAGCATGGCACAAAAAATGGATCAAATTTCATACCTCGCGAGATTTGAGACCACTTTTCATGATGCCATGATCAGGCTTCCAGTGCACATGTTGAACCTTGTTGGGTTCCACGGTGCCAACAAAGTCGGTGGTGGCGTCGGTGTTGGCCATATAAAGGTTGGCGATTTTCTCTGCCACCTCTGACTCATCCTTGCTATCCATCATCAACTTCTCCAACTCCGCCTTGGGAAGCCTCAACTTCAACCTCACTGCACCGCCATTTTGTGACTTTTCTTGAACCTCGGCCGCCTCGTCGACCGCAATGCTCGGTGGTTTCATTATTGAGAGATCCGAGACAGACCTCCTCGCCAACATGAGGCTCTCTAGCCGGTCCTTGGCACTCATTTGAATGCCTGACCTAACTCGTCTCGGGTTTTTCTCTTGAGGAAACTTGGGCAATTCTACTAGAAAATAGAGCCTTTTTGGCTTAAGCTCTTGCTGTGGCTCTAAGGGTTTTGCTCGAATCCCATAATGTTTCACTGCCTCGGATTCTAACAAAACGTACCCTGGATGGTCCTTTACTATATCCACGGCACGTACTGGAGTCTTGAATTTGATCGTTTGGCCATCAATTTTCATCACTTTTGCAGTCTTCTTACCCCCTAAACTATTTCCCATTTTCTTTGTGTTCTTCTTTACCCTCTTCTTGAAATGAAATAAAGAGAACCCTTCTTGATTTTGGTATCCTTTTGGGACCCTCTCTACTACTGTGTGATAATTCAAATGAAATGATGGGTCCAAATATAAAAGGCACTCTTTTATTGGGGTGGTGGATTATGGGTCAAATAAAGAGCACAAATTGGCAGCTCCTTTGACAAATTGACAAGTTACTATTTAATAACATTTTCAATAATTATTAGAACAATGGAGGTTCCTAAATTTTATAATAAGTGCAAATGAATCCTCAACTTCAGTCATTCCAAATTTTTGTAAGTATAGTAGCCGGAGTCCAGAGTGAATGAACCGGCCAATGACATTAGTCATGGCGGCATGGGATGTTGATATCGTTGGTTGTGGGGTGGGTTGGGGTGATAGAGTTCTATTTTTCTTTATATTTTCTTTGAAACATGTGTTTATAAAAGTAAACGGACTAATTTGCTCAGCAAAAGGTGAGCGATCTTCGATGTACTTATTGAACACCAAAGTGAATGAATTTTGTGGAGAAAGGACCTCTGATTGTTACACTTATGAAAACCTTGAGGATTGTGTAGTCAAAATTTATAGGTTTGCAATTAATTTTCTCTTGTCGCATAGGTGAAGGACCTCTGCTGAAATTTTACTTATCTATTAATTCTTGTATGCACGGCCATCAAATCTATGTGGACTTGAGATCATGATACTTCAAACTTGCACTACTCGTACTTTTCAAATTCAACAATTGTTTTTTCTTTATGAAAATACATTTTGGCAGCATTCTCTTATCTCCCAAATCCTCTGGAGTTGCGGCAAAAATATAGACTTTTTTTTCTTGTTGAATGAAAATTACTTGCGTTAATCACGGTGTGGATCCAAGAATGCTGAATAGATTTCATTTGTCATGTGGGGTTTGGATTGGAAGTTTGGTGGTTGAAATGTGAAAACGATCAATGAAAAGTATGCTAAGTTGACAAATATTTTCATGTGATAAATCTCAACATGTACAAGATCCAGTTCACTTTGCGTCAAAGTTTAACATGTGAACTTTCATTCATTACGTAAGGGTGAAATTTGAACTCTAACATTTTTATATATTAGACAGATTCATGCAAGTCTATAAAAATTTATTTAGTTATTTATTTATTTTATGTTGTTAACATAAATAATTTATAATACTTAAGAAAGTACCGTACGACTTATTATTATTTGTGTTCATCTTGAAAATTATATTTGACTAATTGATTTATTTTCCTGCATGTGATTTGAAGTCACATCCCACGTTCGGTTGCCCATATATATGAGAGTCCGAATAATTGAAACATTCAATTCAAAATTATGCAAGTCAATAATCAGAAATTTTTCCTGGAATTAATGCAATAATTTTTACTTCAAAAAATATGCAACAAATTTGTGTCATATCCATTTCAAATCACACAATTTAATTTGGTTCCCCTTTTTCTCAAGCACTAGATATTAAGACTGCACTTAATTTTCGTTCTCATAGAAGCATCACATCAATCACACAACATGTTGTGGTGTGATCCAAATTTTATGTTACTTAGTGTTTGGTTGAATAGAAGAAATCTAAAGAGTTTTGGTTTTGAGGCCCAAGGCCCCAAAGTGCCACCATAATGGGTTTTATTCTCATTTTTTCGAATTTTATATTTTTTTCTTCATCTAGAACTCCAAAAAGAGATTCCTATATATATTCCACATTGTTGTATCTCCAAATATTCATTCAATAACAAATTGAGAGATAGAGAACTTAGATTTCAATTGAGAGTATTGAAATGTTGATATTGTAAAGACATTCATTATTGATTATAGTGAAATTATTCTCTTCTTCTTGTGGTTTTTTCTCATCTTGGGTTTCCACATAAATTTTTGTCTTTTTATTTGTTCTTCTTTATTTCATTATTGATATTATCTTGAGATCAATTAATAACAAATGGTCATAGCCAAATTGATTTTCCGTATGGCATCAATGGTCATCACAAGTGAATATGCGAGTGGATCTCGTGCAGATGAATTTGGAGGAAGCACTACAACATATCAACTCATCTATAGCTTTCAAAAAATGCTATACATCATGTTCTATAGCATTTTTCGGAATGCAATTGTAGGTGGTGTTATTAAAAGTCATACCTCTATTATAACGTTTTTTTAGTGCTATTATTAAGTGCTATAAAAAAAACTTTTCTATAGAATTTTGTTATCGTCATGATTTAGGTATTATAGCATTGTTTTCATGTACTCTTTTTCATTTGATAGCATTTTTTCCCCATTATAATTTTGACTTTAATAACATTCTTTAATCATCATTATTATATTTTCAATAGCATTCTTTTTTTCATAATAACTTTTTAAAATATTTATTGCATTTATTGAATATAATGTATCATTATCAATAGCATTTTTTATTGTACTGTATACATATTAAATAGCATTCGTAATTCATTGTCAAATGTAATTTGGGCTATTTAGTTTAGTGGGCCTTTTAATGAATGCTATTATATTAAGTTTAGATCAAATTTACTTCTATTTTATAGCATTACTGATAAAAATGCTATATTTGAATGTTATAAAATATATAAAATGTTGTAGTGAAGTTTTGCTTGGCTTTGATACGATGCCTTCAACCTAGACGCAGAATAAAAAGAAGCGAAGGGATTGTAACTTAGTTAATGGAGTTCATAAAAATTAATATTGAGATAGTAACTTAGTGGAGCATAATTCACTACAACGGCGTTTGCTTTTATTGCATGCCATATAAAGTCATGTAGTAAATACTCATTTCTTTTTACGGCATGCATAGCATGCTATAAAAAACAAGTACACCATTAATGAATCAAAGCATGTCATAAATACTTAACCATTTGCAACATGTGTCTGCATGCCGTGAGGAAGATAATATTTTTTACGATAAACATTTTTACATGCCATAAATGCAATTTTTTACGAGGGCACATGCCGTAAAAACGATGAAATTTTATACGGCATACTTTGTTGCCCGTCGTACAGGTTTACTTATTTAAAAAAAATGTTTCACTTATTTTACCCAATTCTTCTGNATGCCTCAACTAGATAAATACACTTATTTAACCCAATTCTTCTGGTCATGCCTTTTACTATTTACTTTCTATATGTTGTTATTATGGAGATTCTTTTTTCGTTGTCATGTAGATGGAAAACTTTCTTATTATTATCTTACTAGTCTATTTATTTGATAACCAATGAACCTATAATAATTAAAGAAGATAATTCTCTAAATCAACACATGTATAAAAAGTTAATTCTGTCGTAGTAATTTCTCCTCAAATTATGAGTTCTTATAATTTTATAGGACTTGAATTTCCTTAAAACATAGTTATTAAATCCACATTTGACTGGCTGGCCGGTCCAATTGAAAACCTGATAAATTGTTCCTCAATTTGGATGTTCAAAAACTTGGTCGACAAAATTCCATGAATACACGACATCGTAGATAAGTAATAGAATAATGAATAAAGTATCGTTCCCTCGAAAACATGCACTCTCTCCACCCATCGCCCGACGCCGCCTCCACCCATCGCCGCCTCTACCCCTCTCTCTCCCTTTTCCCAAAAGAAATGGCCATCCTCCGTTCGTAACGTCGTCACTAGGTTCGGCTCCGAAGCGAAGGCTACTCGCTTCTCCTTCCGCCTTCCTTCTAGGAACCCCCTGGTTCACCGCATCTTCTGGTGTCCAGTTGAGATGAGGTCGTGTGTGGGTCCATGTTTATGCGTGCGTGCAGATCTTTCTATTTATTATTATTTCCTGTTCTGGTCTTCGGTGCTTTCCTGTGTGAGTGCGCTGCTGTCGAGGTATACTTTGTGCTAGTTGAGGTTGAGAGATTTAGGGCCAATTTTTGTTGTTGGTTATGGCAGATCTGGCGGCGATTTCGTTGTTGTTATGTGTTTTGGTGTAGTTGAGGTTTTTGGGATTGTCGAAATCGCCCATTGATAATTTCCATTTGGTGCTGAGACCGTGTTTTTTGTTGTTGTTGGTAGTGGCGTCAGTGGTTCTTTGTTTTGGTGTAGTTTGGCTACTGGGTGGCGATGGTGGTGGAGCCGTTGATGGAGGCAGCGGCGAAGTGGTGGTCACAAATAATTTGGGGGTGGTCACAATTGATTAGGTTGTTTGTGACCAATAATTTGATTAGTTTGTGACCAGGAAAAAATACGTGACCAATGAATTAGATAAGCTATGACCAATATCTGCTTTGTGACCTAAATATTATTAATTTGTGACCAATAATTTGATAAATTGTGACCTAAATAAGTACCGTGACTTATAAATTTTGTGATATGTGACTGATGAACAAATTGTGACTTTTAAATTTTTAAATTGTGACCAATAAACAAATTGTGACCTAAAAATTTTCGCCGGAATCAGAGCAGTCGCCGGAACAAAGTGGCTACGAAACGGTCATTGGAATCGTTGTCGAAATTGGAGCAGTAATCGGAACGGTCACCAGAGATGAGTTGGGGTCGAAACGGTAGTCGGAATAGTCCCCGGAGCGATAGGGGTGGTGGAGGTGGAGTGGGGTAATTATATTATCATAGATTAAATATTTAATAATAAATTGATTTGATAATTCATTAATTCATAAATAAAAAATTAAAAGTCCTGATTTGTGAAATTTGAAACTTGTATTTGTATTTTTGAAAATGTGTAAAGTAAATACCTTAGAATTGTATTGTTCTCATTCATTAATTCATAAATAAAAAATTAAAAAACCCGATTTGTGAAATTTGAAACTTGTTATTTTATTTTTGAAAAGGTGTAAAGTAAATCCTTTATAAATGTATTGTTCCCTAAAAAATATTAATACCTATAACAATTATCCAAAATGAACAAGCATCAAATGTATTAATCCCTTGTTTGATAACTATTTTTGTGAAAATACATTTTTCTCTATCTTATTTTTAATCACACATTCTTCAATAAAATAATATTACACA